ATCATGATTTCTAGAAGCATCCAATACCTGCTTCTTAAACACAATTTGTTGCTTCTTCAGAAGAGAAGCTTTGAAAGGCTCCCGCAAGAACGGAAGGGTCTTAAGACACTGAACTACACACAAAAACAGACAAAAAGAAATAATTAAGTGTTTCTTCACTGCTCTGCCAAAGACCTGGCTTCAAGCCGTCAGTGTTCCCCTCTCCAGAAACGGGCTGGCAAGGGACTGAATTAAGAATTTGGCAGGTAGTGTTTCTAGTTCACCTCTAAAACCAGCATTAACACCACCAGGACACTATGTGTTGCCACGATTGGCGATTTCTTTTCTCATTTAAAACTCCAACTGACAGAAGTTACATTCGACTAAAAGCTTAAAAATCAAGCATTTGGGTGACTTAACACTGAAGGCAAACATATTTAAAACCTGTGTGTTCCCCTGCAACCAAGTCCTGGACCAGTGCAAAAGAATAAAAAACCAGAAATCCTGAAGCAACATGTGGAAAATCCTCATCAGGGTATTATTACACCATGGAAGCACTATCATTTCTAATTTTGCTGTGATAAATCGTGCTTTAACCATTCAGCTCTAAAATGAAGCACTCTCAAACGTGAAAACACAGTCAGAGACTTCCCAGTATTGCAACTCTCTTCCTCGCGCGCTCCAACACAAACATTCGTCCACGTTTTTCCAGAGCCAAGGGAAACATAAGGAAATAGCCGCTTTACAGGGACCGCAGCGCTGTGGCAAGGCTGTGAGCACCCACCGATCGCCGTGCCTTTTCCTCAGCCAACCTTGGACCCGTGACCCAGCTTGTATTTTTGCTGGCAGGAATGGTTATGCAAAAAAAAATAAAATAAAAAAAAAATAGATCTCATATTAGCAGTTTTAGATCTATATTCAGGCACGATTCTGATCTGTTATTTTGTTTCATCAAGTTAATTCCAATTTATACCGGTGTAGATAAACACAATTTATCTTCCAGCCAGGTAGAACACAAAACCCTCTTTGGAGCAGATTTTAAGATTACTGTGCTGCAATCACCCCCCGTACTCGGGGAGCAAACGAGGCCCTCGCCCTCTCCAGCACAATGCCTCGTAATCAGGGGAAGGAAAAAAGACAACAGGGGAAACAGCAATCATTCTGCAGTCGCAGAAAAGTTGTTACCCTGTTTTTCTTTCCCCCTCTCTTGCTCCGAGGAAGCGATGGGCGAGTGCTACACAGCCGTACCTGTTCGATTGTTTCCATGCCGTCGCTTGAAACCGTTTGAGAATTTGAGTCCCATCACGAGCTGAAGATACTTTACAAGGGAATAATTGCATTTGCTAACAGAATTCTGTTTGCACTTTAAAAACCTCTAATAAAAATAGAATATATACTGTGTTTTTTATAAATAGATTACACATTTAGCTTAGCTGAGTTTCATTACATTCCCCCCCCGACACTTTTTTTTTTTAAGGATTTTGTTTTTTCATTGTGTGAACTAATATGATAATGACTAAGTCTTTGAAAAAGATGTTTGTACCACATTATTCTTTGGACATTTTTGAACATGCATCCACGAAAGCAACTGCCATTTGTTTACTGAAAACATTTTTTGTACAAACCCATTTTAGGAATTTCATCTATTATTACACCGCTAACAAGCAAAAAAATTTGCTTCCTTGAAATCCTCTTTTAAAAAATGAGAAACGATGAGGAGGATTTTCTGATTGTAAGTCTAAAAAAGTGTCAATATGACACCGCATTAAGAATAGAAAACAAAAATAAAGTATTTACAGCTTTACAAAGGAAAAAAGAAAGAGGTCATCAAAATCATTTCCAGCATTTTCACCATTTTTTTTCTGGCAAGCTTTTGATCTGGTGTCTACAGAGTGGTTAAACGCAAACGGAACAGGACCACTGTCAGCTAAATCAGCAGCATCACTTGAAACTAAACCAAAGACCTCCTAGGGAAACTATCAAGGACCAACCCCCGTAACTGCCGAAAGGCTGGTCCACCGAGTCCTACACAGCCTAAATGAAAATAAAACCCCGATCCCACGTATGAAAACACCTTTTCTTCTTTAAAAATGGATTACATATGGTTATAAGAAACAGACACCAACAACCATGGTCATTTACCGGCATACACATCACCATCGTACACATTATTTCTATACCCTCTACTACAGACCCACATCCCTTACACTTACCAACAAATGCAGCCCTATCACAGATGCTCCTCGTAATTACGGCTACAAGAGAAACTGCAGGTAACAGCTAGCTTCTTTCGACAGCTGAATTTCTGCTTCCTCACTTGGCTCTCACTGTCAAACTGAGGATATCCTTTCCTACCCTCAACATAACCAGCTACTAGTTTCAAGAACACTCAGCCTTTTTCCTACTAGGACACTGAGTTTTAAAGAAAAAAAAACCAAACAAACCCAAACAGCAGCTAAGCCGGACAGCCATTAAAATTACTCAGTTTCTCCAGTACCAAAGAGCATTTCATAATTGAGGAGAGCTGAACGCCAGCCTCCGACGAGGCTGACTCACTGTGCAAGTAGATTGCTTAACAATGCCTCCACCAAAGTCACTAAAGCATTACAGACATTCAGCTTTGGCAGACGGTTTCTCAGCCTCGTGAGAAACTACATATTAGCAGCTGAAGTTCATACAGGCTTGAAAACCTTAAGAGTACTTTATTGAAAACATGCAGTCCCAGCCCCCTCAAAAAAATATCACATCTCTTGCCCCCACCCACCCCCCTACTTGCAGCCCTAGTGAACATGACATTTACCACTTTGGCCACCTACGAAATAATAGGAACGAGCACTTTGGAATAAGGTTTCTTTTCCAGAGAAAATTTATCTACGTCTACGTGATGAAACAGGCTTTGAAAAAGCCCCTAACCCACACCACAAGAACCACGAAGTTGCTAGCTACTCTAGGAATAACTGCACCGAGTATTTCAATCAGTAAGGAAACCACAAGAATATCCTTGGATCTATTTTCTTGGACAGAAGCCATTGATTGTGGATCGTGGCCTCCACACTGTGGATCCAGATGGATCATCCCAGCACTCCTCCCCGCTCTGAAAAACACAGGGAGCCCATTTGATCGACGTGGCCTAAAAGCACCATCGTGTCCAAGCAGGAGACGGCTCCGAACAGCGATGCAACTCCAGGCAGCAACACAGGAAACTCAAATTGAGAAGCCATTACTGTACCCACAGCTACAGCACGAGCAGAAACCCTCCGAGGTCCTGCCCCTCTGCATCGCTGCCCACGACAGAGAGACATTCCTGCCCAGGAACGCGCCGTTTGCCGAGACACTTGTGCTCTTTTTGGAAGAAAGCAACACTGATCTATTCTGGCTGTGTGCTTACAATGCAACCCCGCTGATTTCAGATCAATACATAAGAGAGGCTTGGAAACAATACTCAGGAAGCTAAAAAGATTGGCCAGCTTACCTTTACATAACACTGAGAGGGTGCTTAAACTGGGTATTTCCCTGTCCAGTCCTAGCACTGCTCCTGCACAGCAGTTTCTAAGCTTCCTGACAGGAAAAAAAAAATACATTTGGTATTTACTCCAAGTCTTGCAACTGCTAGTTAACTACACAGTTACCTTTAGGCAGTATTAACTACACTTTCAGTCTTGGTCTAAAAAACAAACAAAAAATTATTGGCTGAGGTTTATACCCTGTTTTTACCTGGCTGAGGTGCTACAATTCCCATTAATAACCACAAACAGCTTGATGATGCCAGAGTTTCCTCAAATACCACCAAGCAATCTGACTTTTGATGCTGCTTTCTCCTGTGTAAAAATACAGAAAGATTGACAAAGCCTAGGTCTTCTCCCTTTCTCACAGAGAAAGCACATGGCTGTTCTTCCCTAATTCTAGGGCAATGGTAGTTTGGGATTCATTTTACTATGCCCTAAAAAGGATTACAGTATTTTCCGATGTTCAGCTTTCCTGAAGAACAGTGGTCTGGAACTCTCCCAATGTCATGTCTCAAGCCTACATCTATACCACCGCATGTCAGTTTATCCTGATGCTTCAACTATCCCACTCTAAACATCATGAAAGCAGCATAAAATGGAGTTATCTCCCTGTCAGCAAAGTAAAATCTGCAAACGCTACGGTTTAAAAGAAAAAAAAAAAATCCTAAAAAAAGAAAACACAGAACACCACGGGAACTGAAGGGCTGATTCCCCTCTTAATCCAATCACTGGAAACAAAGGCATTGTAATACGACATTCCTCCTCAAAAGAAGCTCTACAGATAACTACCATGTGCAAATGTGTTTTTAGCTTTCCTTTCCCCAAGAGATAACTGTAGCCCAGCAGGGACCAAACATTCCATATAAATAAGGCGAGCTTTTTTTTTTTTTTTTTTTGCATAGTAGTTTATCAGTGATAGTCCCACCCCACTGAACCCTCCGTTGTCCACCTGCTTTGCCACCGAGCTGAGACCCGCTTCTTCAGATTCTGGAGTCTAGCAGAAAGCTCGTACAAATCTCAAAGGCTCCTTCACCCAAAAAGCTGGAATGAAGAAATTCCTTTTAATATTGTATAACTGCTTAATCCTAAAAGCTGTCTTCTAAACCCGCTATTATTTTTAAATGTTTACAGTTCAATTTGGAGGCATTCCTTTTGGTGCCAGACATTGGTAATTGCACCGTAATTGTCTTGGGTTCGCTTCTCATTTTGCCAGTGTTCCTTTCGCCAATCAGTGCAGCAGTTCAATAAAACCATAAGCTTATTGAAATATCCAGAGCCTTTGCAGCACCATTCTCTGCTGCTACCAGATTTTTTTTAAATAATATTTTTTATAAAAACACCTGCTATTAATATTCCACTGGAGCTCAAAGTGGCTCAGCGTGGGGCAAAGGCACAATTAAAACACCATGTTTTCTTACAGGACTCTGCATTTATGATTTGTATAACAATAGAAATTTACAGCACCAATCCTTGGGTGGGGTGGGGATGCGTGTAGGAATGAGTCCTTAGAAACCCTTTGCAAGGGCTTACAAGTCTTTTTTTCACTCCCATCAGTGTACTGTTTTGTAATCTTTTCTTGTATCTTCCCTTTTACTGGAATGCTCCAACTACGTATCAGCTGACCATGGGCTCCACATCCGTCTCTCTGTCCAACTCATCCTGAATTTCATCTGTGTTTCCTGAGTCGCTGCTGGCTACAGAGCTGGGAGACGGAGAATTTCTGTAGAAAAATTCAGAGAAGGAAGGGTTTAGACAAAAAAAGTATCAATGACAGAAGGGAAAAAAAGGAACCTTTACAGAAAATGGTCACTTTCACTTCCCAAAAGAATTTAAAATGTCCTTTATTAACATTAAACTTTGGGTTTACAGTAAATATCAGTAGTAAACATAAGCATCTCATGTGCTGCTACCCCACTCCTGCCATCTCCTATACAAAGGCTGCCCTAGGTTTACGGATGGGGAAACGGAAGCTAAATCCAATGAACATCCTACAGAGACTCTCATCATCCATAATATGTACAGTCTTGAAAACTCAAAAAAAGTTCATCATCACCTTTTAAGCCAGGATGTGAACTGAGGGCAAGCAAGAGGTAAGAAAGATCCCTCACCATAGTATAGGGTTCTTAACACACGAGAAGATTAAAACGCAAGTTCTTCAGACAAGTCCATAGTCAAGGTTTAATTCAGGGGTTGGTTTGTCTGTTTTAAGAGTTCTAGGTCTATGACACGAAGGCTAAGTGTCCGTCCAAGTTAGAGAAGAGGTAAGTCCATTTATACAGTCCTATGGGTGACATCCCTGTTTTTACCAATAGGTGTTGAATCCTTACAAGTGCTGCTGTGTATAGGAACCTATACACTGTTACAGAGTTCCTTTTAAGACTGATATTTGACCCTGAACAAAACAAGATTATCTAGAGGACAAAGCTTTAGGACAGAATGATACTGTTGCCTTTAGACAACTTGGCAGGAAACAAGAGCAAAATAAATTCTTGAAGCGCCCCAGGCAGAACGGTAACATCTTATTACCTGTCAGCTGAGCCTTTGATAAGCCTACGACAGGTTTCCATTTGTACATCCAGGCCCCTTTTCATACTACACATTTCCATATATTCATGAAGGTGGCGATTCATGTCACTCTTGGCGGTGGCCAATTCCAGCTGTAAGAAATAAGAGAAAATAATCAGCCTAAGGTGACTTGCTAGCAGCTTCTCCCAGCTTCACTCAATTTTACATACTGGTGGGGATGCTAAAGCTGCCCAGAGCCAATCCAACACACCCGCACCATATACGCCTAACCTCAGCGTTGTATACTGCCAGTGTATTCATCAGCTTATGAAGTGTAATTTAATCAGAGCTCCACACTGTTTTTAAGCAGCCCTCAAGTTTTTTTCTGCTGCTTGGCACCTTGTTTGTCAACATGCAGTAATTAACGAAAGCATATTCTAAACAGGGCAAAGACTTTGAGAAGCTACAGCTGTTGTGTCTGGCAACCTCTGAGGCCACCTCTTGTAAAGCATTTCCCAGTGTGATGGCAGATATGCAAGACAAATGGGGGAAAAAGAATAATAATGCATTTTTATTCTCTTTCTTCTGAAGGTTCTCTCTCCACCAGCCAGATTTATGCATCCTCCATAATAGGGCTGTATAGAAAATGGTATTTAGAAAAAAAATCACAAGGGTATGTCAAAGGAAAACACCTTTGCATTCTTAGATGTATAGGTATTCCGCCTTTCTTCTGTGGGCATACCAGACCAGAACGCTGCGCGTTTCATCATTAGAAACAATTAATATTGTCACGAACAACTTCCTTACCTCTATCTGCCCTATTGTTTCTTGGTATTCCTTGTCTCTCGTTTTAAAGAAAGACTCTGTTTCGTGGATCAAGTTTCCCAGGTTTTCTTCCTGCAGGGGAAAGGAGAACACAAAGAATTAGCAAGAAACCAACAAGGAATTCAGTAGCAGACTGACGATTTCCTTATTTAACCTCACTCAGAAATGCAGATTGTTATGCTCTTCCACACAAAGATTTTTTTTTTTTTTTTAAATACATTTTTACACCCGCAAGGAATAGTCTGCTGCTTAAAACTGGCATACCAGGCAACACATTTTTGTACCACGACCGTGGCTTTGTACACACAAAGATAAAGTCTCTGATCAAGGAACCTACAGACCAGGGCTCCAGCAATTAAACACAGATACCTGATGCATGCCAAAGAACCAAACCTATGGATTTTCCTGAACCTTTCCCAGTCTGATCACGCTTAGATAGATTGTAATTGCTCTCCAGCCATGAAACAATTTTTTCTTGCATTGACCACACCACTACCTACAGCTTTGCACCAGAATTTTCATTTTCCAATTACATATTATTACTCTCGAGTCCTTTCAGTCTCCATTACCTCACTTGTATGCTCTGCACGCATTGTTTCCTATTGAAATTCTTCACTTAACTGCTAGATAAAGCGAGCTCACTCCAGCACACTACCAATGAAAATATCGCGTAAGAACACGTGCTGTCCCAAAGGAAACATCCTGCCAGACAACAGCTCCTGTATCATCACTGCTGTGGATCGACAGTACAGTCTGGGCGACAAAACATACAGCACTATTTCATGCTGTCACAAAGAGGCTAAAACAATGTCATTATTCTCTCTTTCATGTTATTACCTACCTCCCTTTTCCAGAAAAACATTTATCATCAATTTAATGCAACTGCACTGATGAGCATTAATTATGTTTCCATCCTTTGGCTGCATCTGAGGCAGCTTTATCAGGATCGTACCTGGTATCCCCGTCAGGCTAACCAGCCTATAGCTACAAGAATCATTCCACTTATCCTTTTATATGCAGAAGCGCTTTAAGGAGGAAGGTCATAAAAGAAGGTGGCTAGGGCACCGTGTAAGAACTTGAAAGGAATAAAGCCAGTGGAAGGAGGATTCAGGCATGTAAAGCACTATGTTAAAGACCAGGCACAGACGGAGCAGTCTTTATTCTGAATCTCCATCTACAAGACAAATCTACCCTTTCCTTGTATAATTTTCATTTAGAAGGATTTAAGCTTCTTAAAACCTTTAGAGTTTTCGCACGGAAGGTCTGAGTTCGGCAATATTCCTCTGATAGCTGTGCTTATACATGCACACATGGGTATATGCAAATAAATCTGTCACTAATTCCAGCACATGGCTACACATTATCGCTCTGCCACTCTCCCTGCTCAAAAGACGACATGTAGCTAAGTACGCTGCTTTCTGCAGTCCTAGCACTTCTGAGTAATCTCCGCAGTTTCAGAGTATGCCAGATGATACACAAACGGGAAGATGTAAATTCACACACCCCTGGCAGCCAATGCAAGACAATATTCAGGAGACTGCTGCCTCAGCATCTTTACACTACAGCGATGATGGAGGAAGGCAGGATTATTTCTTACCTACTGCTGTCGTGCTACTCAGTAATGAAATACTAGCATCACATTTAAGACTACCCGCACAAAGCCAGACCTTGCCATTTCAATCTCTCTTTAGGCCTGTTTAAAAAGGCTCAGGAGTCACTGAATGAGACAGCATGCAGCCATTAACTTACTTTGTGTGGGATCTTAAGGATTAAAAGCAAGCTGTTTATTATCCACCAACGCCAGGAGATTCCTATTGACTGGGAAGATGGAAGCAAAAGATTCACGGGTTCAGAAGATCCCTGGGGCCTTACACAGCTTCTTTGTTTGTGATGGGCTGGATGTACGTTAACATCTTCCATGGACCATACTGGAGTTTATTTTTCTCCCCACTAGAATAATTGTACAATATCATCCCCCACACCATCTGTACTATTTTGACAATTAAAGTGTGACTGATAATCTACAGAGAAAGTGAGATGCTGTGTGGAAGATACAGGGCTTCAGATAAATGACTGCTTAAGGTGATAGATTGTGTGATCCTCCTATAACAGCGAGATGCATTGGATCTTTTGACACTCGCTTGATACTTTTTAATACTCAGTTTGAAGGAGCAGAAGAAGTGAAGTTTGGCAAATAAACTGATTGCACAGACTGAAAAGCAACCATAGAGAGAAAGCACTAAGAGGATTTTAAAATCAAAGCAAGTTTGCGTGGCAAACTAGATCACCAGTCAAATATCCAAAGGCTCAAACAGCTAAAAGAGCAGCTGAGGAATACAGCTTCTGCAGAGAATAGTTCGAGAAAATAATAAAAAATAAACTCACCTCTCCTTGGAGGTCAATTGAAGGATTGCAGTTTGTGAAGTCTTCCCAAAGAAGCAACGTTTCCTCATTCTCCTCCCACGTTAAACTATCACAGTCATCATCAAAATCGAATGTCTCACGACTGTTAAGATAACGGGAAAAGCATTAGCAAAAACTACTCCAGCCCCACTCCCTCAGTTCTTCAATTAATCTTCTAGAAAAAAGGGGCTATGAGAACTGAATGACGGAGACAATGCAGCAGCTGAAAATCCTCACGGTTTTTACAAACAGGCTTTACCACTGTCCAAGTCCCTCGCTCCCGGGCTCTTTGCCACCCCAAAGCAGAATAAAAGATCCTTGTTAGCATTCCTGGTTCAAGTACACAGTCCTAGCTCTGTCCTCCAGATGGTGCTGCACATTAGTTTCCCCTGTTTGCAAACCCACAAAAATGTTTTAAACTATTCTTTTTATACGTGGGAAAATAAGCCCAAACACAGTTTGAGGAATTTTACAAGGAACAGCCACTAGAAGACTCCCTGCTGATTTTCATGTTGAAGTTCAGCCAACATTCTCCCTGCAGCACGTAAAAACATTATTTTCAAAAGTAACAACTATGAAAAAAACTGAAACCCAAAATGATGCGCAGGTGAACATAAATACTTATCATTGACTTGAACAACGAAGATACTACTACGGCCACTTCAGACTGAGAACAAACAGTGGCAAGAGTGGCCTTTAACACTGTTATTTGGCCAAGCTCCTTTAGTACGGCCAGTTGTGCAATAAAGGAAAGTTTCAGAAGGCACTTGAGTCCCCTTGGGTTTGAACAGCAGCAGAGCGAAACACTAGTAGCCGCTTCTTGTCCTTGGTAAGGAGGCCTGACAAAAATCTGAAATTGCTCCCAGCAGCAGTCTGCTAATTTCGGACTGATGCATTTTTGTTACTTTACTTCACTTCCTTTTAAGCAGATAACATCGCAGTGCGGAAGCTGAGTCCACTATTGTCTTTAGGAGGCTGAAGAGCTTGGCAAAAGAGGCTATTTGTCTATACTCAGCATGACTTTAAAAAATAATTTTTAAAAAACCTAATAAACTTGGACATCCATGAGTGTGCCTATTGCAATTCTTCAGTTTCTTTTTGCAAGAGCTATCCTTGTCAGAGAGCACAACGGCTCCCAGTCCTGACTGCTGCTTACTTCAGACAGTGTTCAAATCTGACATTTTACTACTCGACACTTAAAAGATTACGTTCATTACAGATAAAATGCAAGTTGATTTGTTTCTGTTAATGAAGCAAGCTATTCAGCTGTTTGTAAGCTCTTATTTTCTACTTCACAAAGCCCCCAAACCCAGACATCCTTAGAAATGTATCATCTCCAATAAGCCATGAACGCTGCTCTAGATCAACCCAATTGGAACGTATCAACAAGATTCCTACAGCACTTCGTACCATATGTAACAAGACCAGGAGGTAAGGATTTCATTAGCAGCACCAGTAAAAACTGGGTATCACAGGACAGGTTTAAGAACAAAACTAAAAACTAAATGCATTACCAACCTAGTAGCTAAAGCCTCTGGCTTTTCTAAAAAAAAAAATCACACGCTATCTGTTGTCACACTGAATTCTAGCAGTAGAGAAGTCAAAAAATCTGTATTTATTACACCGAATGTTAATAAGGGCCTAAAGACATCTTAAACAAGAGTCCTAACAAGGAGTTACCTACAACTTTTACAAAAAACATGTCCTCCTATACGTGAAATTCAGGCAGAAAGAAAGAGACACACACCCTGAAAACAGAACTTTTGGCAACAGCTGACAACGGAAGAGGAGCTAGTGCTTCTTTGACAGTTTCTTGTGTACTCCTACGTATTAAATACTGTCCCACATTGTGTGGGAAAGCACTGGGAATTCTTCCCTCTGCAGTCGCTGCAGAAGTTGGCAGAAGACACCCATATTCAAATGCTAGGAAAGTCAGACCTACGGCGCTTGCTGGGGCTTTTCTCTGCCAAAAGAAAATGGCAGAGACCCTCAGAAGTCTCACCAGGCTGTGGCCATCTCCCTCATCTCTAGAACAGGAGAAGAGCACAGCAGGGCACGTTGCCAGCCAGCTTCCTGAAGTGCTTGGTGTAGCACCAAGGTGCAGAGCCTCTTCTCAGCTGCTGCAAGCTTCCTAACACTCCAGTTTGGGGTAAAGCTTTAGGCAAAATAAATTGCAATTCTTCCAGTTTGGGAGACCAGACTTTGCAGCAAGTCTTACAACACGGACATTCTTGGAATCTATAAACTGTTGTCCACTGCTAGAACTGATCTTTCGGACAGATCCACCAATACCATTTGCCTACAGCTCAACTGACAAATCATGCAAAATACTAGAGCTGTTTGTATCCATTTCAAACTAAACTTTCAGTCAGGTTGGCGGATTCTATCTAGCCCAAGCAGCAACAAGGTTCTTTCCAAAACTCTAGAAATCTAACATTCAGCCAAACATACAGGATAGACTCAAGTTTTGTACTTCTTTTTTTTGTTGCATGTTTCTTCTTTTGCTAATGTTACAACAGCATATAGTAGTAAAACTAGATGTTTGTAGTTTTTATATTCTCTATAGTTCCCCCTCCTTCAGGGAGGAACAAAAATCAGTTACTTTTATTTCAACTTCCAGAAAACCTTCAAGTATGTACCATGCTGGCAGCTCAGGTGTTCTGGGACTACGTCTGCATTTCAGAATAAGTTTTCCCCACATCGTCCGCGATACTCACAGCTGATTAAACATACGCTTCATTTCATCCGTGATGTTCAAAGAACAGCTGACCTCATCGTCAGAGAACCTGCCGTTGTCTCCATCCTGTTCAGAGAGGTCATCATCAGACGCGAGCTTGCGTTCTTTCTTCTTGGAAGCCACCTTAATTGGAGAGAAGAGCAGTAACTAGAAGGTTCAACTGAGGTGCTGCGCCATGAGGGGCGGAAATAAAGAAGGAGAGGCATTAGGTTTGAGCGAATATAACTGCTTATCGGTTCCCAGGCAATTCAGGGATTGCTCGTATTCAAGACAGGAATTGCATCTGTTAATGAGTGGTGAACACAGAGCACAAGGAAGCAGTTCAGACCGGCGAAGAGCAAAGCAAGCTGCAGGCTGCCAGCGCTCTACAGATGTTCATCTGTTCACTGACACCAGTCTATGATCTACCAGAGAACATGCAGAGGTTAGAATGATACAGGGTAAAAGCGTAAGCTGGCAGGAGTGCCCAGGCAGCAGGCTTGAGAGCAATGACAGAACTCTCCCTCTCCTGCCACCACCACAGGCTGTTGCTCCCAGCGTTGAACCACCACAAAAGAGCAGACGGGAAGCCTTTCTACATAGCCTTTATTTCAGGGTCATCCCACCCCATCAGCAGAGGAAGACTGCTAGTCTTCAGCTTGACGGAAGAAGGGTTAACTGAACCAGAAAATGCCTGGACAACCTCAAAGAAATGAAGTTCATAGACGTGCAGAGAATTCAAGGGATACCCCTGCAAAGGGCGCAGAGGATCACTTCTTCATCTGAGGACTGTGAACATAAAAGATATTCACAGATGGTGCCACAGAGTCACAAACACACACTCCGCTCCCAACCCACTGTAGTTTTTCCTCTACTTGGCATATAAGCCGGCCCTTATCGGTATTGTTCTCCATGCCGATCATTTTAACCACTGCATGCTTGACCAAAAGTGCGCTTTGCAGTTACCTTTGAGCAGAAAGACACAGCAATTCTACTCAAAGACAAGAAGGAACCACTAGCACAATGCAATGGCTCAACATGCTAGAAAAATAATTGTCTCCAATAAGGAAATTGAGTCTTTTGGGATACAGAAGAAAAAAAAAAACCCATCAAACATTTTGGCAACTTCACTACAGCCAGAAAGCACAACCAGTAGAGACCATAAGGATCTTTTACAGTGTTTTGGACAGCATTTAGCACACTATGTGGCATCACTATACAGAGAAAAGCATCAGACTTATTGAAAGACTGAACAAGACACATTTAGACCGAAGTAGAAGGAAGCTGGGTTAATCACAATTGAAATGGCATTTATGACAGAAGACCAACCGCATTGGAGTTACAGGTTTGCTCCACGCAGAGCTGTAACTGCTTGCTTTTGGAGCAAATTAAATGACTTTCCTACTAGCACCAAGGAGCCACAAGAGCTCAAGGAAAGCAACTGGAGCTTCTAGTCTCACAAAGCAGTCATAGCACACCACCACACAAGTGTTATTTCTGGCCACCGAGCTTGAGCCAGAAATAAGAACATTCAGATGACAGTTCTACAAGCTTAAAACCTCTCACTTGCCAAGGGAACAAATGTGAGGAGGCCATTTATACAAACCTAGACCCTATAATGCTTTTTTCCTTGCATTCATTGTAGACTAGCATCAGACTAACAGCATGTCTTAAAAGTCATCCTGAGACTTCTTTTTTTAAGCTCTCTAAAGTTTGTGCTCTTAGTACTACAGCAGCTTCTGCAGAAGAAAGCTACACTTCAAGACTGAGAAAGAAGAAAATATGTCTACACAGAGAAATCTCAAGAAAAGGCAAATGACCTGGAGCACGCTCCTCAACACTGCTCCCTCTTGTCCCCTCACTTCTTGTCCTACCCTATGGAAAATTCATGGCCTAATCACCTGGAATATCTTGGAAACGTCTTCAGAGTTGCGCTGCTGCGCTACATCACACAGCTTGGCTGTGATATCGATTCGCCGACAGATGTCCATGTCCACCTTCATGGCCTTTTCTTGAATCTTTGTGTCCAGGTCTGTCATGGGCTGCAGGAAGGACAGTAGTGATTATCTTCTATTATTATACAGTTCAGGAAAGAAGAGATACCCCACAGTATCTCTCTAACCCCAGGGCATACCATTCTTAAATAATATTACATCTCGTGCTCCGGGAAAGGCACGCACAACCTAAACAGACTAGACAGCTAACAATTAACATTCATATCTGATTCTAATAAAATTTCAACTCAGAGTGATTTGCCACCAAAAACCCTATACCCACCCCAAAAACAACTGCTAGATGTGGAAACAGTAAATTTGCATTGGGTCAATAAAGCTTTAAAAACGGAGGAGAAAAACCCTGTTGAGCATGTGCGGAACAGAATGAAATCTAAAACCTGTGAGTATGCAACGCTCCCCCCATTTCAGACAGAAAAACTGTGCCTGCAAGGAGAAGTTGCTTTTAAAACAGAATCCAGGCTACGCAGCAACTTCATACATACCGTGAACATATAAAATCAAGACTGGATCTAAAAAGATCCATGAAAGTTTGTGACACAGAAAATACTCCTCACTGGCACTGACCTGGCTTCCAGCCTAGCAAAAATTCTACGTGAAAAATATTTTGTCTTGCTTCACTCTGCAGAGTAATTACAAACATAATTTCTAAGAGATACTCCCACTCAGACAGTACAGCTGGCTCCTTATGAAGAAACATTGTTCCACAAAAAGCATATTTTCCAGCCTAGACGAGACTTACTCTGTTGGAAAAGTACCACTTCAATGGCTAGGAAATGCTTCCACTTTGACCAGAAAAGCAGAAAAACTCTTCGCAGAGTTTTCTTAAATACAAAATCGTCTTTCCAAGAAGAAAGCTTTGGTGTGTTGGGTTTTTTTTTTGTTTGTTTGGGTTTTTTTTGTTTTTGTTGGTTTTTTAGGGGTTTCTTTTGTGGTTTTTTTTTGGGGGGGGGGGGGTGGTTTTTTTTTTTTTTTTTTTTTTTTTTTTTTTTTAATTTTTTTTTTGGTTTTTTTGGGGGGGGGGGTGTTGGTTTTTTGTTTTTTTTTGTTTTGTTTTTTTTTAAATTACTAGGCAGAGTTCTTCTCCAGCCCCTGTCAACCACCTTTGGACAAGTTAGAGACTTTTGTTTTCCAAACACACTGAGAAAAAGAACTCTCTAAACACTGACACACTCTAAACACAATCTTATCAACTGAATAGGTACCAGCAATTCTTATTCACAGGAAAGCAAGAGTCACACGCCAACATTTTGCATTTCTCTGCTCTAAATATTTACACAGTGGGATTCAAAACAAGCATTCTCACTGCTCTCCTTAGGCTCTCTTCTGCCTTACAGAGTTTGCAAAGCCCAAAGCACACTTTCTCTCGAGTTGAGGAGGATGTTTGCATTCACCACCACCCTTTTTATACACACTGAGCAACATTTCCTCCTCAGCGAAAAAGTCGGAGTGATGGAGCCCCAACAAGTTTCTCCCTTTCACACTGCCTCTAACCAAGCATGCCTATTCTCGATTAAACACCAAGAGACAGCTAACTGCCAAATTTCACATGAACAGATCGAGCGGCCCTGAGAGAATGTATTTGACACCAGGGAGCAGGTTCTGCAAGCTTATATAAAGACAGAAGGAAGCAGTTCTACACAAAATTACAGAATAAATAAGCACAAGAGGACATATTCGTTAGACAATTGGCATCAGCACTACTTCAGTCTTACAGAGAAAGGCATCTCACTTAATGTTCACCTGGTTTATCTTTCTAGATGCCTGCCGGAGTACATGCTCTCAGTATGTCTAAATGTAAGAAAATTATCCAGTCACAGTCTAAAAGATCCCCCAGCTTTGAAGGAAAGTCAATATCTAATGAGACATGAGGAAATTCCTGAGAGAACAAGGTTTTTTTGGTTTTGTTTTTTTTTTTTTTTTAAATTAGGTCGAAGCAGCACTGGAAACAAAGTCAGATACCCGAACGAGTTACACTGGGTTAATCTCTTCAGAGCTTTCATAAAGGGAGTTGGGAAACAAAAATAGCGTGTTCCTTTTTGAACACGACTTTTTTTGCGTGATTCAGAGCAAAATCCCCCTCGTTAGCAGTACGTGGCGCTGCACGGTGATGAACCCTTTACCCTAACCTGTGAGTTCTCCAACGCTTTTTTCCACGGCTGCACATCTGAATGCCGGCACCGCCAGCTGTGGACAACGGGGAAGGGAGGGAAGAGTCCGGGTTATGGGCTAAGCAGCAAGTTAATGCATCTCTACGCAGACCAGACAGGAAGCAGGGGGAAGGGTGATCTGTCTGATGCATTAGATCATAAAGGCAGCCATAATGCTAACTACAAAGCAGCACTCACTAAGACCATAACCTTTTTATGAATGAAGCCATTTGCATGACACACACATTTCACAAAGGCAGTGGGAGTTGGCCGCTCTGCTCGCCAGTGTACTTACATCACTCATCAGACCCTTAAAGACCACAAGTTCTGCTTTCAGTCTCTCAATCTTTTCATTTAACTCCTCCTGGAGAGCTTCCGCTTCCTGCGCCTCCTGCAAGAGAAAACACACAAAGAGCTAAGAGGTAATAGGCCAACATAGCCTTCCTCACTTAACCTGAGCAGGGCTGATAAGGCATGTCACCACCCCCACGGTGCACTTTGCCAGAACCTTCAGCACCTTCCTGCTTCAGCTTCCAAACATTAATGCTATTCTCTACCGTACGGCAACGCGGTCAGCCGCTCCAGCTAGAAGAGAGTTTAATTAAACAAATTCAAATAATTACTAGCGTACTAAAAAGTGTGGAGAAAACCTATACCTTTCAATACATACTACTCAAAACTTACCTCTCGCAAGGTTTCTACCATAGATTCCAGACTCACTCTTCTCGTCAGTTCCTCTTCCCATCTGAAAGACAAGATTTGCAGGCAAAGTGTTAACTGTTGAGAAAAGCAATTCCCCCCCCCTTCCCCCCCCCCCCCCCCCTAAATCACAAGTCTTCTGATAGCTGTAGGATGATGACAGTTACTTGAAATGTAAAGCAGATGGTCCCCCTCACTTGTACACTCTCAAACCAGTAGCATTAAGTCTGTGAGAGAATAAAAGCTAAATCCACCTTCACTGGGATCAGTACTCCTCCTGCTCTCCTATGCAATATTCGGTTGCAAATAAGGTGGGAAATCTTCAGTGCAAAAAAAAAAAAAAAAAAATCAGTTGAAGGTAAGTTATCCGAATCAGCAGTCTTACTATTTATCTGTTCGGTCGAATCGATTCATATGTTTATGTGCCTCCTACATCAAAATCCTCAATAATCTACATGCCCCAGTCATTTCCCAACACTACAATGGCAAGCAGAGTGCTCAGACAAGCATCCCTGAATGCAGGGTATATACACTCACTGCTGCTGCAGTACTGAAAGGGTAGAAGGAATTACAGTTACAAACTGCATAATTAAACCTCACACTACAAGCATCATTATGTTTGTGTTCATTATTGGATTAAGTGTAAAAATATCCGGCAGTTCCTCTTTTTAAGCACCGCAACCCCTTAAAGAGCAAAACCTGGTATTTGACAATACTAACTCAAAAGCGAAGGTTCTTGAAAACGTGACGATACACTTCCATATGTACGGATATGGTTTGAGTTTGGGGCGGAGGGAGAAAGTAAGATGTGTGCCACTCTTTTTGAATGGGCAGTAGAGCCACACGGGACTCGCCCAGACTATTACAACAACCGGAATTACACCCCTGGCAAGGAAACTTTGGATACCACCCGATTAAAAACAATCCCATGAACGTAACCTCCAAGTACTATCATGATAATTTCTGTTGCCACTTCAACACTTTTTATAGTTTAACTGAAAATGGCAAACCATGGGCCCAGAAATCTATTAAATCAAAGCATTCTTGAAAACGCATGGTTAAATCTGCCAAAGCACATCGTTTCATCCTATTTTCAAATCCACAAAGAAATCTGGTGATGGCTAGATTGTGGGCTATTCCCATTGAGGCAGCTGATTTGATGCATACGTAATCACGGTGCTACTCAATACACCTCTGCATTCAAAGCGCAAATTTAATCCCATCTGCAATGGAAGGCAGGGCACCGGTTACG